CGCGGGGCCGTGGGGAATAATATGTGTGAGAATCCAACCACCCCTAAAAAAAATGTGGGAAAGGATGGGAAAAAACACTTCTCTAAGCAAACCGCGTTCTCTCCCCCCCCCCTTTATATTTTTGACTCCCTTTGCTTTACCCTGGTTCAACCTCTCCTCCTCCAACGTGACACCCTCCATGTTTGGGACTTCTGCTCCCAAAGGCCACGCTGGCTGGGAATTATAGGAGCTGGAGTCCCCACACCACTGGAGGCTGCCGGGGAGGGTCTGTGCCAGGCCCTCCGTCCCTTCTTTCTCCCCCCTTGGCCTTCGATGCCAAAGGTGTCCAAGCCAACCAGCGCCTGGGGTGGGATGGTCCATTCCAGCCACCCAACCAGGGCTTTTCTTCAGGGGGGCAAATGCCCAGAGCCCCATGCACACGATCGGGTGGGCACAGGCAGGCGTTTCGCCCAGGGGTTGGAGCTGTGCCCAGAACAAGGGCCCTCAGCTCCCATGGCCAGTGGTGAAGGGTGCTGGGCAGTGTAGTCCTGAAGGCCCATCTGGACAGCCCCACGTCGCCTGCTCCTGGCTCTGGCAGGCTGTCTGCTTCCCATTTCTGTTGGAAGAAAAAGCCGCGAGGGTGGGCGGGAGAGCTAGGGGGGACCGTGGGCTTTAGGGAGACCCTCTTTGACCGTCCCATTCAGGCCTGGGGGACCCAGAGGGTGCCCCTTCTTCGCCAGCTCCCACCTGCCCCCTTTTCCCTCTGCATGATCTATGTGTGCACTTCTATTCCCCCTCCGTAGGCTGTGCCCGACTTTCAGGAGACTAGACCGCGTAATTACGTTCTCTCCGCCAGCGCAGCCGCGGTAAGACCAGCCCCCGCTCTCGCCCCCCCGTCTGCCCTCGGACGTCCCTCCTCCCTGCTGCCCTTCCTGCCGTCCTTCCTCCCGCAGCCCGGACCGAGCCCCGGGGCTGTGTCCAGCATTTTAACGTGAGTCGAACGGCCCGCCCAGGGGTTCCTGCTCCACCGATGATCTCCCCGGTGGAGAAGCGAGATGAAGCTGGTGTCGCCAGGAAATGGTGGGGGTTTGCTTGGGGCTGCCCTCCGCCTCTTGACCTCCTCCTCCTGGACAAGGAGCACTGCAAACAGGCTGCCATAGAGTCAGGGTCCTTCTCCCCTTGCCGGAAGGTTTGGAGCCAAACCTGGCCAGACACCAATTAGGATCAAGAAGCAGAATCCGAACTCATGCCTGCTTACTCAGTTCTCAATTAGTAATATTTATGCCTTTCCAACACTGAAGCACCATCTTTTCTGGCCGTGGCACCCTCCGAATGAGCCAACTTCCACTCCCAGAATTCCCCACCCTGCATTTGAACCGCAGAGTGTTCTGGGAGCTGAAGCGGGACTCCAGATGGGCAAACATCCACTTCCAGAATTCCCCAGTCAACAGAGCAAAGCATTGTGGAAGTTAAAGGGGGGGCCTCCAGACAGGCAAACTTCCACTCCCAGAATCCCCTATACCCTGCATTTGGGCACAGCAGAGAATTCTGGGAATTGAAGTCCACAATTCTGGAGGGCACCCAGCCTGCTCTGAGTATTCTTTTTCTATTTTAATTTCCTCTTAACCGGCCTTGAACCCACTTACGGTCCTCCAGACCACAAAATCTCCCCAGGATCCTTGCAAGCCAGGTTAATTTGACCCTGGGACCGAGCCGCCCCCAAACATCTCCCTTGCTCCCGAGCCATATGCAGTGCCAACGCAGAACAGGCAAAATCAGACAGACTTTCGCTCAGAGGTGGACAGTCTCAGCAACTCCCCAATACCCCATAATTTCTCACCGACTCCCTCCTGCATTTCCATTCTTTCCCTTAATGTGGACAGTCCTTTAAGGAAGAAGAAAACAGAATGGCCACCTTCCAGGAACGCTTGAAAACGCTTCGCTTTCACACGTCCCTTCCCACCACAGTCCATTGCCTTCCCAAAGCAGAAAAGTGGAGGGGGGGGAACCAGCATCGTCCACCCATTCCCACGTTCATCAGGTTCATCCGGGCTCGCGGCGGCTGCGCTTCTGGCTCACGTTAAAATGTCGGAAACCCAGCCCCACCCTGTCTCCACTTGCTGCCTTGCCGATAGCACCGCACTGACGCTCCGGTTTGGAAGGAGCCAGGTTCAGTCCAGATTTCGGGGAGATTGGGGGACGAAGCGGCGGGTCCACGGCGTCCCAGCGTTGGTTTTGCAGAGGAATCGCTCCGACTCTTTTCCACCGGCCGCGCTGGCGCTGGCATGCTGGCTGCTCCTCTAAATCAAACATCCCCCTGGCGGGGCCTTTCTTTCCCAGAGTGGCGTTTCTGCTCCAAATTGGCAACTTCGGGAGGAGGCGACGGCTTGCCAATTTTGCCCAAAAAAGGAGCAGGCGAAACAATGAACATGGATGGAACCTGGAGAGAAAAGGAGGGCATCAGATGCAAAATTGTTCATTCCAAAACAGAGAAGAGACCATGGGGCTGTAAAGCGCTTTGACTCGAGGAGTCCTCTTGTTTGCAAAAGCTGGCATTTGGCCCCAACATCCAAGCCGAACCTGTTTGGAAAAGCTTTGCGGATTAGAGGACATCTAAAGAGACCTCCGGGGGATGCAGTTCATGATTTGGGTGGTGGATAGGCTTGGAGTAGGTGGCATGCGGTTCAAAACGCCTGCCCGCACCTCCTTACCAAAATGAGCAGTGTGCCAATTAATACTATTCTAAAGTCCACCCTGCCATTTCTCTGAAGTTTTCTTACATTGCAGAAAAGGCTTTTTAAAACATTAACCTGACTTGCCTGAAACTGTCCAAATTGTTGATCGGAGTGGCTTGAATAGCTTTGATGGCTCTAAGTGGAGAAGGCGCTGCTGGGGCTGTTGGCCCTGACATGGCTTACCATCCCTCTGCAGCCTCCTTTGCTGCTCTTTCTTCCCAATCTTGAAAACCCCAAAGGAAAGATTTCCTTCTTGAGGTCTCCCCATAAGATTGAATGGAAGGATGGGAAGCCAGAGAGGCTGGAGATGCTGGAGAAAGGATTGTCTCTTCCCCATCTCTATCCCTCTGCAGCTTCCCTGGCTGCTCACTTTTCCCAGTACAAAAAATGCTACCGGGAAGAGTTCCTCCTTGAGGTCTCCCTTTGAGAGCAAATGAAAGTGTGGGAAGCCAGGGAGGCTGAAATGGCTGGACAAGGGACTGTCTGTTCCCCATTTCTGTGTCCCTCTGCAGCTTCCTTGGCTGCCCCTACTTCCCCATCTGAATGTTTATTGTATCTCCCCTTGGAATTAAGGGGGGAAGCCAGGGAGGCTGCAGAGGGCTGGAAAGGGGATAGTCTGCTTCCCATCTATCCCTCTGCAGCCTCCCTGGCTGCTCACCCTTCCCAATATGATGGTCCTTCTGGAGGTCTCCCCTTGGGTGGGAAGCCAGGGAGGCTGCAGATGCTGGAGAGGGGATTGTCTGCTCTCCACTTCTCTATCCCTCTGCAGCCTCCCTGTTTGCCCATCTTTCCCCATCTTTAAAAAGCCTCCCAAGTTCTCCCTTTGGCATTGAAGGGAATGGTGGGGAGCCAGGGAGGCTGTAGACTAGCTGCAGGCTTGTATGTAAGTGTTATGCCTCCCTCTCCTTCCATCCAAAATCTGCAATTGGAGTGTAGCCCACCATGCGGGAACTGTTTTGCTGTGGGAAAGAAAGCCCTCCCCCCCCACCCCCTTGGAAATGCTGTTCTGCTTTGGCCTGGGTGCGCGGTGCATGGCGCGTTGCATTTTTTCTGGGGCTTCCGAGCCAGATCCCACCAGAATGAGCAGACGGCCTTGCTGGGTCCCGGATGGTCCATCCTGAAGAATGGGCTCTTTACTCCCATCCGCATTATGGATTAATAGCGGCCTGCTTATACGCACATACAAGGGCCAAATGCACCATTCCGAGGAACACGGCATTTTCCTTCTAGATCGCCGTGTTGAGGTTGTCCAGGACACCACAAACCACTTCCTCTTCCAGATTATTTACTTCCAGAAAAAACATCTGGAGTGTCCCCCGAACAGCTGGATCTCACGGCTCTGATGTTCCCTGGAAAGGTGCATTTTGCTCACCCCTTAGGAAATACGGTCTGTTTGGCCATCTCGATTGAGAATTTTAGTCCTGCTACATCTGAGGGCCAGCTGGTTAGGAAAGCCTGCGTTCTATTTCATTTTGTGAAAATCTCCAATCGCAACATGCGCTGTTTACTTAGAGGCGACAAACCATGATCGGATTTTATTTCTTCCCTCTCCTCCTGGGTCTCCTTTACAGGGTGGGTAGCGCCGGGATCAGAACCGCAAAGAGCAAATTCTAATTTTGGTAGGCCAGCTCGCATCGCTAACTCAGGGTTTTCCGTCGTGGCCCTGGGAACTCCTAAAATGCTTTGGAACACAAGTGGGGATATAGATTAGCAATTTGCCCGTGCAGAGATGAGATTGCTGATCATAGTGGTGGTTTATTTGGAGAGAGAAGATTGCCAACCCTTCTGAATGTCCTTGGGCTGAAAGAAGGCTGAATCATTGTGCTGTCCAGATGCAAAACTGCATCAATTCAATTGAAATTGATTCCAGGCCACAAATCACATTGGACACCTTTGAATTGAGCAGGGCTTACTTTGGTGACTCAGTGGATTCTTGCCGTTGTGCGAATCCTACTTTCTAAGTAGATTTGAATGGCCAAATGGATTCTCTCTCTTTTTTTTTAATCACAAATGCAATTTATTTTTGCAAAGCTTGAGTAAGGCCTTTTCTCTTCCAGCTGGATAGATTCTGTTGCACCCCAGACTTAATGATTACAAGCCCCTGCCCCAATCCTTGTGGACCACCATCTCTGTCACTTGCAAATTGTTACCTATTTAGGGCCATGTCTTGGGGTTATATTTCTGGGAAGATCCTCTGATTCTGGCCCCAGCCTCTTTTTCTGATGGCCGTTATGTTATTCTATAAAACAAAAGAGGCTGCCGTTTTTCTTCCTGATTTCCCAGGTGGTTTGGGAATTTCTTTAGAATTTCCCTAGGGGGTGATTTGGAGCTGACCTGAATACTGGAAGTGGTGATTGCTGGGGCAGGTTTTTTTCTTGTGACATTTCTTTTCATCTTTCTTGAACTCTCCCTGTTCTCAGCTGAAAAAGCGAAAGAGCATTTTCCCCAGTGACTTCCTTCAGGATTTAAGGGAAGAATAGGAAGCCAGGGAGGTTGTAGATGGCTGTTGAGAGGATTATCAGTTCCCATCTCTTTATCCCTCTGCAGCCTCTTTGGCTGCCCACCCTTCCCCATCTATAAAAACTCCCTGGAAGGAGCCCTCTCCCAAGATCTCCATTTGGGATTGAATTAAAGGATGGGAAGCCGGGGAGCTGAAATGGCTGAAGAGGAGACTGTCACCAATTTCTGTGTCCCTCTACAGCCTCCTTGGCTCCCTACACTTTTCCATCTGAAAAAGACCCTTAGAAGGGTCTTCCACATTATGTCTCTTCTTCGGATTGAAGGGAAGGGTGGGCAGCTACGGAGGCTGCAGGTGTCTGGAGAGAGGACTGTCTGTTCCCCATCTCTCTATCCCTCTACAGCCTCCCTGGCTGCTCACCCTTCCCAATCTGAAAAATCCATTGAAGGAGTTCCCCCCAGGAACTCCCCTTGGGATTGAATGGAAGGGTGGGCAGCCAGGGAGGCTGCAGACAGTTAAGGGATTGTCTGGTCCCCATCTCTCACTCTGCAGCCTCCCTGGCTGCTCCCACTTTCCCCTTTGAATAAACCTCTCCCCTTGGGATTAAGGCGGGAAGCCAGGGAGGCTGCAAATGGCTGGAGAGAGGATTATCTGTTCTCATCTCTCTATCCCACTGCAGCCTCCTTGGCTGCCCCCACTTCCCCATCTGAAATAGCCCCCTGGGGGGAGTTTCAAACCTATTCCCAAAGAGAAAACACAGAATAGCAGAGGAAGAATCGGGGCACTTGCTGTGTTTGTATATTCCAACCATGTCCTGTAAAGTCCAGTTGGGGAACCTTTATCCCTCCAGATGTGGCAGGACTACAATTCCTCACACACTTGCCCTCATTTCACCTAGGGCAGGACCATATTTCCTAATCCAAACGCCGGGGGCGGGGAGGTGGGTTGAGGAGGGAAATGGAAATCAAATCTCTCCATCCGGGGAAGGGTCGCCGTCTGCTGCTCTGGCTGGGGGACAGGCCGGCTGCATTCCCAAAGGCGCCCCTGATGGAGTCCACCCAAGGCAGCTTCGTTGTGTGGAATGATGGCGGTTTGGTGTCTTCCGATGCTGACCTGCTTTTCCGTTTGTCCTGTGGTTCCCCACAGCTTTGGAGTGACGAGGTGGAAAAAGTAAGTACTGCCAATATTCCGGCATTCCTCTCTCTCTCTTTTTTTCTTAACCCAACAATGTCCATCTTATCTTTTCCTGGAGGGGAAGGAAGTCAACCCTGGGGTTGCATTCACACAACACGGTGCCTCTGGTTGCCGAATGAACCCATTTTCCAGATTTGCATAATACGTCGGTCAGACGGGGGCCTCGGGCAGCCTGAGTTCATGCCCTCAACAGCAAAAACTAAGCAAGGTTAACCCTAACCTGCTTTCCCTGGTTGTGCGAACACAGCTTTTAGATGTTGGCTGGAATAAGGGTGCTGTGTGAACCCAACCAAAGTTTAGTTTTTGGCAAACCAGGGAGAGAGAGAGAGAGAGAGAGACTCTTCTCTCAAATAAACATATGAAAAGGTGAATCAGCCCCGGGTGAGCCTGGTCTGTCACCCAAGCACCCCTCCAACAATTCCTCATCGGAGAGACAGACCCCTTTGGAAATCCTTTCTTGTGGTGGGGAGTTCCATAGCTTGAACCGTGTGTCGTGTTATTTCTCCTCCTCTGTTGCCCCTCGTTGTGCTTAAGTCATTGTAGTTTTAACTTTTTAGCTTAATTTTAACCTTTTGAAGTTCTTAACTTATACATCTTTTCTAGGATTTTATCGTTTTTTATGTGCGACGCCGCCTAGAGCCACTTGTATAGCGAGATGGGCGGCCATGTTTAGATCTGAAAAATAAATTAAATGAATGAATGAATCTCGGTGATTGAGAAAGAAAAGAATTATTCGATTTCTCCACGCTGTAGATCAGTGTTGTCCAAACTTGGCCACTTTAAGATGAGTGGACTTCAACTCCCAGGATTCCCCAGCCAGCATGGGGTTGGCTGGGTGGGGGAGTCTGGGGGGTGTCCTCCACTCATCTTTAAGAGGGCCAAAGTGGGCAACAATGCCGGAGAAAGACCGATGCACTTTCTTCTG